CCCAACGCACACAGGCAGAAGGCGCACCGGCGCGTGCAACGGGCTGGCGGGGGGGCGGGGGGGGGGGGGTAGTGGTGTGGTGTCGGGCGGAGCCGGGAAATAGGTGCGTGAGGTAGTGCGGGTGGCGCGCTCCCAGCCCGCCGCGCCGCGCCGCGCCGAGGGCTGGGAGGGGAGCGCCGGGAGACGCGTCCGGGCACGCTGCCAAGGCTGCAACCCCTGCCTGCTCCCCTTTCCGCCCCGCCCGGCCCGCTCCGCTGCTCGGCGGGTTGCGTCCCTCCCTCTCCGACAGGCGCGTGACTCACCCGACAGCCCTCCGCTCCCCAACCCCTTGGCCCCCACCCGTCGCCGCCTCCTTCGCATGAGGTTTGCCCGCTGCCAGATTTACCGACTACTCTCGCGGGAGTAAAGAGGTGTTTTTTGTTTGTTTTACAAGCCTCATGCTTCAAATTTTCCGCCATTGATTTTCGAGTGTGGGCGTGCAATCGCCGAGCAGGCGCCGTGGGGCTGTCTTGTCTTCGTTCATCCTTACCTCTCGCAGTCTGAAAATAAAGGCAGCATCTTGTGACAATCGCGAAATTCTCCGAGAAAATTTCGATACAACGTCCTCTACAAGTATTCACTCAAAGCACTCTTCTAAGGTGGATCAATGCCTTAATTAGCTTTTTGGCGTCTTCCTACTCATGAAATTGAGCATCTGTCGTCTTTAATACTAAAACACATTGAAAGCCTTCGAAACTCAAGCGTCTCATATTTCACGAATTAGCTTTAAGAAAGCCAGATTTCGAAATGCTCGCGAACTATTTCAATACGCCGTTTTCCGTAATGTTTTGGAGCCTTTTTACTTACCGCTCCCAACGTCACGCAAGGAACTTACTTACGCGATCGTTTACCGAGGAACGCTGTCTCTCTTAATTTATTTCTTCTTCCTGTAGATTCGCAAAACATTTGGGAGAGGGGGCGAGATTTCCCAACCGGTGTTCCCGTCTCAGACCGTTGCCGCAGCGGTGACGTCGTTCGGATTCTGAGTCGGGGGGCGCTTGTCGGTTCGCGGTGCGGCCGGGCCGGCGGCGCGCGCGGATTTATGGCGCTTCCGGGGAATAACGTACGACGGCGGCGGCGGAGGCGGCGGCCGGGCGGAAACGCGCGCGCTTCCTCGGGCATCGGCGGCGGCTGCGATCGGAGCGACCGCGATTGCTCCGATCGCCGATCGATGCTTGATCGATCACTCGCGAGGGCGACCCGCTTCGCCCGGCCGCTCGCTCGCCCGCTCGCTCGTTTCTCGAGAGAAGGGTCGCGAAAGAGCGGCGACCCTTCTCGATTGCGAGATGTTTCCTTCGCGAGCTGCCTTTTCAGGCTGCTCTCTTTTCGCGAGTGCGCGCTCTTGACCCGCTTCGCGCGTCATTTGGTCAGTGGGCTTACGGAAACCTTAGACTTCAGACTCGTCGTGATATTAGACGACCGTCTGGAAGATACAATATTCAAATCAGTTTTTATCTGCATCTGTTTTAGGTTTGTTGATTCTCTTTACCTAATAATAATAATAATAATAATAATAATAATAATAATAATAATATAATGGGAAACCAGTGCAATGTAAAATAAAATACATTCCTTTGTACTGTGTTTGAATTTGCTGTGGAGTAAAAAGTGCTTGTCGATGTGTTACTTCGAGATTCCTGTAAAAAGAGGTTCCCTACGCTTCACAAAGTTGTGTTCGGAAGAACGCTTCCTCCGTTGCCTTAAATAATGCGCACACGCTGGTCAGCTCTGGTCTCCCCGCACACTTCATCGTCAATTCGCCGACGCGCAGAGACGGGCAATACTGCGTGAGTTTCGTAAACGCCGTCAGTCTTTGAAACGGACCGAAACCCGAGTGCGTCTTGAAAGCTGCGCGCTCGCCCCCGTCGCCTGTGTGGCGCACGCCGCGACGCGGGGCAGGGAAGGATGGGTGGAGCGGGAGGGAGAGAAGGGATGGGTGGAGGGGGAGGGGAGACCGTGGGAGCGGGCTGGTTGGTGCTGGCGGCGCGTCCCAGACGCACGGCGCTGCGCGCGCCAGCAGCAGCGGCCGTGCGGGCTAAAGAATCGCTTCTTCCCTCCGCGGCGGACCGAGCGATACGCGAGGGCCGCCGCGGCCGCGCGCCGGCCGCCGCCGCCGTCAGTCGGTCGTCACTTTGGCTGCGGCTCCAGATCCCTTGGCTGCGGGTACTGTACCTGTCACGCCGCCGCCGCTGTGGGGTGAGCCCTGGGCTCCGGCCGCCTCGCCAGCAGCCAACTGCCCGCGTGCGAACTTCGCGGCTGCTGGAGCGCTGCAGTGGCAACCTAGCGATTGAGAAGAGCACACTTACTCACTTCACCTCTCTCTCTCGCTCGCTCTTTTTATTTCGTGCCATGTGCGGTGATGCAGTGCTGACGTGTTCGGCGGAGTGCTCTCGTGCCACGATTCGGAGTGAGTTGCAAGGTGCGATTCGATTCGCAGTTTAATCCCTTCTCTTTCTTTAATTTGTATTGCGTTTGCCCAATGGGAGGAATAGACTCTGTAGTTGGTGAAAACATTGTGATTAATTTCTCCCAAGGTGATGATCTCGTCGATCTCCGAGGGTGGGCACGTGTTTGTGTGTGTGCATATGCGCACGCCTATGTGTATGCATGCATGAGAATGAACGGACGAGTGGGAGCGAACGAGACAGTTTCGTCGTGCTCGTTTCCTTTCTTGTGAACTTACGGAGTTGGACGTCATGCCGCAACCGGCATGGCGGTGTGTGTTGTGCAAGCCAGTGGCGCGCTCGCTGACGGTGCCTGTGCTTTGCCGTGTTTCAGATCGTTTGCTGATGAGCGAGTAGCAGCCGCGGCCGCCCCGCGCCTTCCGCCCGCTTCTGCCTGCCAGTCAGCCAGCCAGCCGAACAGCCAGCCACTGCCGGGCCGCCTTGCCGGACAGTCGGATCGGTGACGTGGTGTGAATGGGATAACGGGGCCGTGGGTCTGGCAGTGTGTGTCGGGCCGCCGGCGCCGCGTCGCGCGTGGACGGGCGTGTGAGTCCACTTTCGCGTCCCGGCGTCCCTGCACAGGGGCCCGGGGAAGATGGCATGCGGACCGGGCAGCGCGCAGAGAGGCCGGTGAAGAGGACCAATGGTGAGGGCCGCAAGAAAATCAGATGATGCGCATCAGGATGATGGCGGCACAGCCGGGATGAGAGCAGGGCATTAGAAAGGTGGTTTGAGCAGATCCGGCGTGACAGGCTTTGGAACCGCAGGACACCCGCCCTACTGACTTAGCCGCGTCTCTCCTCTCCTCTCCTCCTCCTCCCCCTCTTATTCCCTCATTTCCTCTTGAATGGGAATGGGCGGTGTTTATTGTTTATTATTTATTATTATTATTATTATTATTATTATTATTATTATTATTATTAAAGTGGAAGACGTAAAGTTAGTAATCTCATTCCAAGACTTTCTGTATTATTCATATTTCACTTATTGAATTCATAAGTAATACATTTTTTAAGCAAATTGTTCCGAATTCACAACTTTACCAATTACTCAAAACTCCCTTGCCAATGTATTATATATGTGTGATGTTGAAAATTGATTAAAACGATGGCCGGGGAGGACACTGCTGTCTTCGTTGTAAACTTTCATGCTGTAAAAAGTACGGTGGTAATGTAATACGTATGGTTATTGATAATGTGATATTCAAAAGAAGACGGTTTGTTCGCGTCCGTTGGGTGAGGTATCTTAAAAAAAAACTGTATCCCAGTCTCATACTCGCTTCAGAGAAATAATTGCGTTTTTGAGTCGTGCTCGACGGCAGTCGATGCAGCGTATACTAGACCATACCGACCTATGTGACATGCGTGCCAAGTTACGTCGTATGCCGTCCCTGGCGCCCCTTCACATGCCGTCGGCGGCAGCGCACCTTCATTCCTTGTGCCAGCCCGGCCGACACAATTTGGCCTCGACTCATTGGACAATAGTCTCTATGCGTGTCCCTGTCGCTTCTCTGGGCCCACTGGCGATTGGAAGGGCTTCTCATCCCGCAGATGCGGGTAGTCCGTAAATATTAAGTAGAAAAGATAATTTTTCTTAATATTTGTAATGTGTCCATATTTTATTTGTTAACTTCTGTAGATGTTTTACATTGTAAACTTAATTATATCATTCTGTTTCTTTTGTTAATATCTTTGATGGAATATAGCCGACTATCTAGGTGGTTTAGAATAGAAGAAACTTTTTGTTTGCTTTTCTCGTATCTCGCATCCCTTGGAAAGGACGGTTGCCTCTTCTGCTGATTGCAATATTTTTCGCCACATATGCTAATATTAAATAGAGTAAAACTTAACATTCGTAATTATTATTTATCCTGAAGTAAATCTTTTGACGATTAAATGTTCGCCATCATTTAATTTAATGTACGCGGCATTACTAATATAGACAAATGAGTGTTATTAATCTCTGGGTGTTTAGTCATTTTTAAAGTTGTTTGCTACTTAAAAATGTGTACCAATTAATGCTTACTTTAAAAAACATATACTTGCGGGAATTTTGTGGTACAAAAACAGATGTTCACAATTCGCTAGTAGTGCTTGTTGAAGACCTTTTGCTGCAGCTTCGTGTGCTAACATCGATAAACATTTCTTAGGCCTGGTGCTTGTGCTTGTGCCAACTAGCCAAGTACTTACGTCGCCAGCATTCATCCATGTGCTTCCGTGTGTAATGTTCAGATTAACCGGTGGTCTGAACTTGTTGAACATATTTTTCTCGATCGACATGTTATATAACGTTTTAGCTCTTTGAACTTCATAAAAATAAAAGAAAGGGGGAAAAAACGGATGGTCTTCATATAGGTGATAGCCATTTGCTCGTAATTGTAAGTGCAATGGTGTATGAGTTTATTTGCTACGTTTGAAGTTGTCAAGTATGTTCAGAATTTAATGGAGAATCCTTCAAGTATGATAATTTAAGTACAAGATACCAGTGACCCTGCATTTTTACTTTCTAATTAATACATCCCTCCCTTAAAATCCTTTAATGTGTGTATTTGTGCTTCTAACCCGCTCGTCTAAATTGTATTTGTATTTTCGTGTACAGGTGACGTTCAACAAACGTAAGTTCGGCGTCATGAAAAAGGCGTACGAGCTGAGCGTGCTGTGCGACTGTGAAATCGCGCTCATCATCTTCAGCAGCTCAAACAAGCTCTACCAATATGCCAGTACAGACATGGACAAGGTGCTTCTCAAATACACAGAATATAATGAGCCTCATGAATCGCTCACCAATAAAAACATCATTGAGGTAAGAGTCAAACTCTTGACGTGGATGGACACACGTGTCTGTAAGCGACATCGACGTCCAAAAATATCGTAAATAAACTGCTGTTCTTCTTAATAAAAGACGAAAAGAATGTTGTGTGAGCATTTTTTTAATAGAAAAAGTAAGCATTAAAGTAATAAATACTAAAGTACACTTAATACAAGAAACCAAAGAGCGTGTATTTCCTTCTTACATTTAAATACTGCCAATCTAAAGTTGAGAATTCCTTACAAAATATTTGCGTAGATTATTTTCTTGATAGTACTGCAAGTAAATACAAATTCTTTGTTGTTGTTGTTGTTGTTTTTCTACATTTATGCAGGTTTTCTTTTCTAGGTGTTTAACCAATGTGTTTATTTCCATAGGCTCTGAACAAGAAGGAACACAAAAACGGAACATGCAGCCCCGACAGCCCAGAACCAGAAACAGACTACCAGTTGACTCCCCGCACCGAAGCAAAATACAGCAAGATCGATGAGGAATTTCAAATGATGCTGCAACGTAATCAACTCAATGGCAACCGAGTGAGTATATGTATACATTGCTCAATAAACCTTGGGAATTGGCATAAACCATGATACTAGTCGGGGGTAAGAGTATCTCGATTCGTTTAGTGTGTTTTAACTCGAATTCATTGAGCAAATTTAATTCAACTGGCATCAATACATTTTTTATACTTACCATTCTCTCCGTACTTCCTCACTACTAATGAATATTATACATTTTATTAATTTTGATAACCGATGATGGTAGGGGAAGAGACGTGGACGTTTGTTATCCTAATCCCTGAATCCCTGTAAGTATTCATGCACGATGTTTTGTGTACAATTTTGCTTTCCCAAGAACGAATAGGAATTCAAATTTCAATCTCGAAACAATCACGCAGTACGTATGTTGTTGCGTGTTTCGTTTTTAGTATTTGTTGTTGTTTTTCCCTCTCGTTAGACTCCTATCATCTCTCGGCACACTCGTAATGTTTTGGTAGTTATACATGGTGTTATAAAACAGTAATACAAGATAACAATTCGTATCAAAATGTTTATCTTCACTTAATGGGTTAGACATTCATAAGCGCTTAGATTCAGTGGACATTGTATACAAATAAAACGAGAAAATCATTGTTATGTACAATTGTCCAAGCAGGTTGTATTTCAATTTTTGCGGATAATTCAAACTTTTTAAGCGAGTTGCTAGTTTTTAATTTCTAGAAAATGTCTCGTTTGATTGGAAAACTTTTCCCGATGTAGAATCAGATACGATCTTGTTTTGAGGAAAATTGTGGAAAATACCGTGGAAATTCATAGTATCTCTGAATTTTTTTGGATTTATGTGTAAGGAACGGAGTGTGCTGCATATTTGTTGCCAAACGTGTACTTCTTACTCGATTTCTGTTACTTGTGAAGACTCGGCGCAAGAGCGAAATTGGAGAGGAGGTGAACATGGACTCAGGATGGCGGCGGCTCTGTCAGCAGGTGGCGATGAACCAGGCCAACTACACGATGCCCGTAACAGTGCCCGTGAACAGCGGCTACGGCGCCGACTCTTCGTTGCTGCAGTCCAGCCCCCAGATGCCACACACCAGCGTCTCCCCGCGGCCTTCCTCCTCGGATAACGACGCCGGTGAGCCTCCGCCGCTCGCTTCCTTGCGTGCGCCACGCCAATAAACCAAACATTTTCTCCTTTTCTTTCGTCATTGATACCTTTTAAACTAGTCTCTGATTCTGTCAACGATCACACTTTGTTTTATTCGCCATCGTCAATATATTTATGAGTATTTAACTACGGGTAATGTAGTGATACTTCTCCTTAATGTTAAGGTGTCTCCACGCAAAGGCTATTCGGCAAGTAGCGAGCGACCGCTTGCCGAATCCCAAATAGTGAGGATGGATCGCTTGCTATTTGCCGAGCGCCGATTCGGTAGCCGCCCCAAGCGCAGCGTGTCGGTCTTTTGGACCCATCGAACGAAGCGGGTTTTCGCCGAGCACGTCAGTTGCTTGGGATTGGGCGGGCAGTCGCTCCCTACTCGCCGATTGCGTGGAACCGCCTTCACGTGCAGTGCACGTGGCTTGTTAACGCTGCATTTTGTTGTTGTTAACATATCGGTTTGGTTGTTTTCCCCAATGTCAGCAGCCACTTAGGCGTTTGTTTCCCTTGCGCAGTGTACCCGTCCGGAGCCATGCTGGAGATGAGCAACGGGTACCCGAACTCATCTTCACCGCTGGGCGGGTCGCCCTCGCCGGGTCCCAGCCCGGTGATGGCAGCGGCCAAGTCGTCGTCCTCCTCCAAGCAGCACTCGCCGGGCGGCGGCGGCGGGGGCGGGGGCCGCTCCAACCTGCGTGTCGTCATCCCCCCGCCGCAGGGCCACGCGGTGGCCCCCTCGTCCTCCGCGGCCGGCGCCTCCGAGGAGGTAAGCCTCGCTCTCCTCTTCTCCTTATCATCTCCTTCCCTCTCTTCTGTGCCCATCTCTTTCTCTTTCTCCCCTTTGCTCTCATTCCCTCTCTTCTCTACCCACTGCTCTCCTTTTCCCCCCCATTGCTCTCTTTCCCTCTCTTCTCTACCCACTGCTCTCCTTTTCCCCCCCATTGCTCTCTTTCCCCTCTTTTCTCTGCCCTTTTCTCGCACTTTATTTATGCTCCTCCTACTGAACTGAATGGCATACAGACTACACCTGTTACTTTTCAATGTTTTAAAAATACTAGTGGTCTGTGATTATTCTTTTAGTTACATTATCCAACTATCTTTACAAGCTCCAGTGATTAATTTTGGTTATACGTATTCCTCCATTTCTTCTGCTGTAGTTTCATGTCATTCTTGTCTCAGGACATAATTAAATTTTATATTTTGAATATACTGAATGTGTGTCACACATCAACTTAAAAGAGACTGTTATTCTTTTCCTATTATATATATCTTTTTGAAAATGTACTCTCCAACAAGAATACATATTATTTTAGACACAGAATTTAATTGTTTAAGGCTTTAAATGGTTAAGGTTTAATGTGGCTGATTAAATGGTTTGAAGTAAAAACTCTCGTTCTTACAGTGTTGCTTTCTCTCTCTTTACAGTCAAGTCGGAGCGGGTCAGCGCTAAACACTCCAGTGGTGGCGCTGCAGACTCCGTCCATCCCCAGCCTCACTGGCTATCCTGCCATCTCCACCTTTGCAGGCCAGGACTTCGTTGTGGGTTCTGACATGGGCTTAGGGGCTCTAAACTGGAGCCATCAGTTGCCCTCCACCCTAACCCACCCCAGGTGAGTACAGTTCTTTGAGGAACTGCTGATATTTCAAAGGATAGAACTTTCAATAGAAAATATTACTTCTGTGCAAAAATTCCAAAGGAATTTTAAGCCTTCAGGATCTAGAAATCTGTCCAGGCATGTATTTTTAGTGAAACTGCTTTACAAACTTCTTTGACGTGTCAAGTGATATTTTCTTTTTTTCCAGTGGATTACCTCACCTGGCAGTGTCTAGCAGCACACCACCACCGTCCACATCTCCACTGCCAGTCAAGATCAAAAGTGAGCCAATCTCTCCTCCTCGTGGAGATGGAGGCGGGGGGAGTGGAAGTGGAGGGGGTCCACTCACACATGGCTTGGCTCACCTGCAAGCTGCTCATGGAGGTGGACACGGGGGTGGGGGTGGAGCACACACGCTCCCGCGACCTAGCTCTGCTGGACATCTCACTCCCACGCCAGGTGAGCCGGCTATGTTCCCCGCCGGCTTCGACCCCCACAGTACGCAACCCTTCTTGCTCTGTTCTGCTACCCACGCGCCATATGCGGCTCTTGGGGTTCTGGCTACTCATGTGACACTGGGTGGGTACTCGAGGCAAATGCCCTAATTATGATGGGTATTAATGTTAACCTTTTGTATGTTTTTTGTTCATTATCTGAACAATGGAAAATGAATTTTTCTTCTAATAAAGTCAAAATACATAATTTTTTAAAGGCATTGAATTTAAAGCACAAAGATGAGATTTTCTTGTAATTTTTATACTGTAGATTTTGTGCTTTGCCAGAAATTTATTTTCCATTATAATTTGAAATTTCGTTTTAATAATTGTATTTTGAATTTTGTTTGGAAATTAGGAAATTCACCAGTCTCTATCCTGCTATGAGTTATTACATTTTTTCTGTAATTCTGAAAATTTTACTTTGAAATCCTCTATTACAATTTTTGGAGATCTTTGAAACTGGTGACAAAATTTTTTCTACTTGTTATTTCCATTCATGTTCTGTATTACTTTATTCCCCATTGGAATTTGTGCCTCTTGGTCTTTGTGTCACATACCAGGACTGCAAGGCTTGCATGTCGCTGTGTGTGCTGTGACCATAACATCTATGTTTATTGTTCCATATCTAATGATTTATGTATTTCAGGAAGTGTAACTCCCACCAACCTGTCATCACCTAGTGACCCTCGACATAGTAGCAGCAGTGACTATGACAGTGGACCTCTACAGAAGCGACCCCGTCTGAACGAGGGTTGGGGAGCCACATAGTGGCTCTCAGCCTCACCACAACTTGCAGGCCACAGCTGCCGCTGACACAATGTGCCATCCAGTGTTGCCATGCTGTCTCAGCACACACCTGACTGACTTCAATATTTTCTACATGCAAAGAAGCAAGACATGATAGTCTTGCAAAGTGTTGTGCTCCATATGATGACCAGCTGCTGACGCAACCTGCCATTGCAATGTGGACTATTTAATTGTAGGTTCTGCATACCAGCACTTGGAACACCCTGAGCCGCAGGCATAGAGCAGGCACATCTTGACTGACTGCTGGCTGTTTCTCAGGAAAAGAAATTTTAAAATGTGCAATGATTAAGAGAAGTTTGTTATGAACAGTTTTGGGGGTTATTACCTTTTTGCTGATGACTTTTTGTGTTAGAATTGATGTACATTTGTGAATGTACTCTTGTCAGTTGAAAAGCATAGCTCTTCATTTAACCTTGGAGCTGTAGTTATAGTCACTTGTACTTAATGTCAGTCAATAATAATGCAGCTCGTGCCTGCTTGGTTTTCTCTACAGGGAAGTACAGCAGTTTTCAAGTCCACAAATGATCAATAAAGGGTGAGATAGATTTCTAATTATATGATTAGGACATTTGAGTAACTTTTTAGAAAGAAATTTTGGTGGGAGGAGACGTTTTTTTACTTGTTTGTTGTGTGCAGTGTTGCGTGACTACTGTGTAGCCCTCAGAAGAGACCTCTATTTTGCTAAGAGAGAGTGTGAACTTCCCCTTATAGCTGTGCTTTGTCTCACAACCTCCTGCTCTGTATATAGCGTACAGCCAGGTTTTACAGTGTCATAACTGCAATTGATATATCACAGTGCCGTGTTTTTTTAAAAAAAGATTAAAAAGATATGAAGAAAGTATATATATATATAGTTATGTAAAGTATAAGTACGTATATATACGGTATATATTTTCTGAAATCGTTATTAATTTCAACAACTTGCAATATGGTTTTGAATGTACTGTATGTACGTATATTAAGTTTTATGTTGCCATTTGCTAAGTTTTGGTGCTTGATCTTCGTAGGCGTAATGTTACAAGATTGCAGACAAGAGTCTTGTGTTACCAATACGTAAAGATGTTTTCTTCCCCACTTTGCCACATCACAGTAAATGACAAGCTCTCCAAGAAGGAGAGTTTAAATAACACATACATATATATATTCTGGATACTTTTTTATTGAGATGGAAGATTGTCATATCTAGCTCCACAGGATATGTAACTGGATGGAATGGCACAATCTTTGTAACTGTCCTAGTATGCAAAATATGATCTCGATGCCTGGTTGTTCTAAAGAATTGTAGTGCTAGAGCAACCATGCACCGAAAAAGGGTAAAAACCTACCAAGTGTTCACTGTTAGCCTTCTGAAGAGTTTATACTATATAGGTGAAAACTACCACTATATTTTATCTACTGCGTGCACCTTTCATGGGCAACATTCAACATTCACACATATTTATGCAGCCAGTACCACAAGTACTGGTGGCTGTCCAGATCGAGTCCTTCATATCTCCACGGTAGGATTGCCTTACTGCGAGTGCCTAAACGTTTGTGCTTGTACACCTGGGTACTGACCGACCGACCGACCGAACACAAAGTCAATTTTGCACAATACCTTGTGTTTGGGGCTGCAAATACAAATATTGAGTGGTGTTATACATGGAGTTAAGGAAAATAAATATATATATATATGATAGTTTACTGTTGTTTATAATGTCATATTATTGCTATTATTATTGTTGTATTAATGGTCTGTAAAATGTTCTAGATTCTTATTGACAAAGAACTTAAATAAAGTTCGCTACATATTTTCCACATATCCACAGACGTACAATCGAGGTGTGGCAAGTTTTTATAAATGAGTTGTATACAAATACAGTGTTGGTTGTATTGGAATTTAAAAGATGTGCTGTTAAATGTTATGTGACATTGCTGTTTCTGTGCTCGGCACACGGTCCCGGTACTGTGTTTGTTGTCATGGGGATGCTATGTGCCATGTTGAGACTTGCACTCTTCAATTGCAGCCCCAATGCTCTTGTTGCCCTTCCTTCTCTACACTCTGTGCCTTCACTTTCCTATTCCACCTAGACTTTCAACTGTACACGGCGAAAAGCAATCAAAATTACACAGTTTTTCTATAAAGCACAAGTACTAAAAAAGCATTAGTGAGAATGTTTTAAAAAGAATTAGATAAATCCAAAGTGAGATATTTATATAGATTATATTATATAACCTGCAGGGGTGCACAGTTTGTAAAGAGATAGATATATTTTGCTGTCGTCGTGACAACCACTCCGCTTGTAGAATGTTGCTTCTGTCTTCCATCGGTAGGGAGCTGATAGCCAACATGCTCATAGACTCACAAGCATGTCTGGTTTAAAATACTCATGTTGTTAAACGAGAAGAACATGTACTTAGTTATCTGATCTTGAAATATACCCAGAGTAATTCTAAAGGTTGTTGTAATCATTGGTTTTATACCTGCTAAAGAAGTGCAATATTATGTTAAAAGAAAATAAGTAAAATAGAAATATGATAGTCCAAATTGTTCCCCACTTGCTTGTAGTGTTGCCCCCTGTTTTTTTCGGGCCGTGTGAAATGTGTGGCAGCCAATTTGGTGTGGGGTGTTCTCGTGTACTCAACCCAGTCTGCCAACTGCAAGCGATGCAAATAAAGATTTGTATGTCAGAAGTTGTAAATGGCCTTTATTTCTTTCCTTGACCATATTCCTTCTATTATTGTTGATGAAATACCTAACTTTTCTATGTTTGTTGGAAAATGTATGTAATTATGACTTACGCATTAAGATTGTTTGTAAATATCACACAGTGTATTTGATATGTTGCACACATTTTTATTTTTCTTCTCTTTTTTTGTTTGTTGGAGTTCAAGATTCTCTAGTGTAAAAATAAATGTACTGTTAATTATACACATTGAGTTTCTATTTATAAAAGGATGAAAGAGTTGTGGAAATGTGCAAGTTGGTTTTCAAACTTTGAAAAGTAATCATGTAAAGGTGTACAGTGTAGGTCAGTGAAAATATTGATTTACTGTAGATTTATAGAACTTTTTTTCGGGTTTTTTATTTCAAATTTCCCTACAATATCGCTACTAAAACTTGTGTTGGACTAGCTAGTCCTTTTCCATGTGATATATGTTTTAACATTCTGATATTCATGTGTTGCTTTAAAAATTAGGCAACATTTACTAAATACATCTTTTTGAATGCATTAACTTACTTGAAACATCTTTGTTATTCTAATCCTATAGCAAGCAAATTTGAAAACATTATGATGAAAATTGATGTAGAACACAGTTATCTTGTGGTCACTTCATAAAATAGCATTCAATATGTGTGTGTATAATATGTATGTGTGTGTGTGTGTGTGTGCATTAATACAAAAAACAATGAGAATTGGTCGGATTTTCTATATATTTCAGCATCGAAATTGGAGGCAGGCCATTGGTGAAAGTGATGCCTTAATGCTGTAAAGACGGCCATGGCCGTAAATTAACACCATCTTGGGGAATGGTTGAAGCGCTCGTACGCTGTTTCGCGTAAGATTGTTACTATACGACGTGTGTCAACGCAAAGCTAATGAGCTGGGGCCCTGTGATTCATATTTTTAAATTGCCTTAACGTGTCACGAAACTCTTAGGTTGGAAACACATGGGCTCTCTAACGGACATCAAAAATGCGTCTGACGCAAGCTAGAAACGGATGGAGTATGTTAAAAGAGCGCTGTGCTCTGGTTGCCTGCCTGCCTTGTCCGTAAAAATACGGACGTTGCAATGTCAGTTGCGCGACGCTTGTCTGCCATTAGCCTTAAATGTAGACTTAACAATTAGCTGCGAAGATAAAAATATCATCCGTATCTATAATATTCTATTTTTATCTATTTTATCTATTTTTATTCGATTACTATGAAATTGGCTATATTCTTACATCCGTCGCGAATTTGCTGGACGATTCTGAACAATATTTTTCAAAGGGCCAGTAAAGAGAATATCAAACGAATGACATCGCTTCAAGTGAAACATGTAAAAACGAATAATAATCGTTGTTACACTATGCGCTTTAAGGGATCTACAAGGCCGGGGGGACTCGGTTCGACACCCGGCAAGTGCGAATCTGCGTTGTGCAGAGATGGAAATCAAAACAAAAATTGATTAATAGCTGTACGCATTTCTACATTCAACCACAGGAAAAAACGAAAATCATTTTTGATTAGTGGTAGTGGTAAAAAAACATCCAAAACTTGGAACTATAGCCCAAGTTACCAGCGAAACCGAGAAGTACGAAGTAGGTGTTCACAAGAGCTTATCTCACGAAAATTAATCGATGCAAATTTTAAGTATATTATGTTAAAGAATGTGAAAGAAATGTTAATAAATTCGAAGTCAAGAGTGGAAAAGAAAGAAATTCTGATAACACGGAAAGGAATGTTCTTAGGCGGAGGCGGCGTCCAGCGGTACCTTAAATTAATGGGGGGGG